ACATGTGTCCCCCCACTTCAAGTGGTTAGAGAAGGGAAAATAACTCTCTCCCCTAGGGTGACATGTGTCCCCCCACTTCAAGTGGTTAAAGGGGGGGAAAATAGTCCTCTTGTTAGAATAGGACAAGTGGCATCCCCTCGTAAATAAGTGGGACACCTCACAAGAAATTAATTAAAATGGATTTATTCTTCTAGGGCCTGCTGTTCCACTAAATGGGCTCTACTGCAGGCCCATTAAATGCTTATTGCATTATAAATAAGCCCAAATAACTTGGGGCCTGTTCACTAAACTAGACTACAGGCCCCTTTCTTTGTTAAAATGTTTCAGCCCACCAATAGGATTGATTGGGCTTATAAAAAAGCCCTTTTCTCTTCTTTATTATTATTTTTTTTTAAGCTGTGACTGGGAGTATCTTAATAATCTGCTCCCAGTCCAGCAAGTTTAAGGACTTAACAGGAGTTAAGATAGTTTACCTCCCCATTTTCTGTAATTAATTTTCACAAGTATTATTCATTAATAAAGATTTCTGTTATCGACCAAGAATAAATAAATCCAGAGGGATTTCAATAGGAAAACAGGGTGCAGTGCAGCTACACAGATATGCTAACCCGTTGGTCAATAAACATGGATATGAACAATTTCCAACACTGATAAATAAATTTAGTGAAACTGATAGACATTTTATACTTCTTTATATTACTCACTTTGATGTTATATATTGCTTCATTTCATTTTGTATACTTTTTTAATGCAACAAAATGCAAAAGCTTCTCAAGTTTTTTGTCCTTTTTCATATTGTGCTATTTATGTGGGGTCCGCATGATTCCATGATATATATTTGCCATTGAGTGTTGCATGTATACCAATATATGTTATTATTTTGATTAATGAAAAAAATGAGTGAGAATAAAATTTGTAACCAGTTTGGTTACAAATTTTGCTCTCATTCTTGCTGGAAAAAAATCATTTTTAGGAAAAAAGTGTTAGGTTCGTAGTAATATTTTCTCATTCTTCCCATTTCTACTCATTTTTTTCAATCTTAGAATTTCATCTTGGGTAAGAATGAGAAAGAATGAGAGTTGAACCTAACATTAGAATTTCACCATGGTATGAAACTAACAATGACTCAATGGGAACAAGATTTAATGGAGTTTGATCATTAGAAAATGGTATGAAACTAACTATGACTCAATGAGACATAAACCTTTTATTCTCATCTTTTACTATAAGTATATGAATATAATCTTGATTGTTCTTTTTTGTAGGATTGGGTAAAAAAAATGATTAGATTGGGACTTGGGAAATTACGATTGGACTTGGACATGTTGGATTTGTGATAGTTGCTGGATTTATGGAGAATTGGAGATTTTGATTTGGACTTGTGGTTATCGGATTCATGAATTTATGGTTGAATGAATTGTAACTTTCTATATCGGAATTTGTTGAAAGTTTAAGTTGTTGAGAAATTGTTAAACGATTGGTCTTGGTTAAATGATTTGGACTTGTTGTGGTGTATGAATGATTGTCAGTATTTTAAAGGGAGATTGCTGGTTTTTTAACTTGTAAGTTGTTGACTATAAATCGGTTTCAGGTTTGTTATAAACAGGTTTTATTGGTTACAGTCTGTTATTTAAGCTTATAAACAGGTTTGTTATTTTAGCTTACGAAACATCTTTTCAAACCAAGGTCTGTTAAAATTTCAGGTTTAGTGGTTATCTTATTATAACATAACTAATGTTTTACTAGCTAAATAAGAGGTTTGTCGTTGCCTTTTATCAGGTTTGGCACTGTTTTTTACAAGTCTTCTTGCAGATGATTAGATATAAGCAGGCCTTATCGTGTCAGACCCAACTGTCCTGATTACTAATTGATTCCGTTATGGGACCAAAATTACATACCCTATAAGGTCTGGTTCAGGACAGAGACAGGGAATTTTCTTATTGGTTCAGGGCAGTTCTACCCTGTCCTGAACCAGACCTGACCCATTGACAGTCCACTCAGCACTTGAGATTAGGGTTCGAAGGGAGAACACAAGAGAAACAAATCATGGGGTGTCAAGAGAATGAGTCGACCCCCACACTCAAAGAGCCAAAAATATATTATGTACAACTACAAGCATACCCTTACAGGGAAAAAATATAAAGAAAAGAAATAAACATGATAGAATACAACAAGACTATAGTAATACAATACAATACACACACTTAACTCCCATAGTCTCTACACAAAATACAGTTTGTCCATATCAGTTGAATGGATAAGTGAGCAATATGAGATAGGAGTAATTTTGCTTTCCCTCAAGCCCTCTAGGATGAGATTGATCACTTGGAGACTTCGAGGTGATTTAGTACATTGTTCTAAAGGTCTCTCTCAAGCCCCAAGCAATACAAGAGTTTTGTTTAAGAATAAAGTGTTCATCTCTACAGGTCTCTCTCTTCATGTGTCTGCCTTTTCCTTGAGTTTTCTGCACATAACCTGCAGTGATCTGTCAAACTTAATCCACCTACAATCATGTAGAAACCAGGAGGAGATTGATCAATTAGAGTCTTGGAGGTAATTTACTATAACCTGCTTTGATCTGTCAAAGTCAACCCACCTAGAAATCATCTAGAAACTAGGAGACTGATCACTTGAAGTCTTGGAGGTGGTTTAATGACATTGTTCTTTTTTGATAAATAACAGAATTTTTCATTAAATATTAATAAGAATATTGCAAGGAGTACAGAAAAAAGAGGAGATAAAACAGCTTATCTCCACAACACCCATAAGAATAATTACAACCTAGCCCAAAACAAATTAGTCCTCCCAACCTCTTGCTTTGTTCGGAAGAATAGGGTGTTGTGGAGATAAAACAGCTTTTCTCCACAACACCCATAGGAATTATTTAGCGACATTGTTCTAAAGACTCCAAGCATTACAAGAATTTTGTTCAGAAGAAAGGCTGTTCATCTCTATAAGTTCTCTCTTCATGTTTCATGGGACTGATCAATTAACTAATTCCTCAAACTCAGCACCTCATCTCTACAGGTTTTCTCTTCATGTCTACCTTTGCCTTGAATTTTCTGCACATGACATGTTTTGATCTGTCAAAGTCAACCCATCCAGCAATCATGGATAAACTAGATGTCAGTTCTACTCCAATGGCACAATTTCAGGAAGCTCAAAGTTTCATCCATCCTTCTTTGACCAACCTGGAACTCTAGCTGTCTATCCAAATAATACTCCTTCACAAATCTCTTCCATTTTTTTCTGATGCTTGATATTACTTGGCACATCAAAGCCACAGCTTTTGTAGTCAATTAAGGGGTGTGGCCTTCAGAAGACATCGTGAAATTTATCCCTACAAAATGAACTTTTCCCAATGGAGATCTCCATGTTCATTAGCTTAGTTGTGCCTAGTTCCTTTGAGAAATGATGCTCAAAACCTCCTGTATGTGCTCATCAACAATCTCACAATTCACCAAGTGATTTCTCTTGCCCATTCCAAAAGGAAAATCCTTTGCAGCTAGGAAATGCAGTTCCTTGTGCCTGTTGACAGATGAAAACACTGAGAGGAAGTAAATGAGAAAGGTGGAAAAGATGGCTTTTAAAAAGGTTCCCCTAGCAAGATGACTTTCACATCTTGCAACCTTTCTTTACATTAGTACAAATTCTCTGAGCTGTTTTTGCAAGAAAGTAAGGAAAATGTTTACTAACCCCTGAACCCCAAATTGTGGGGAAGATAAAAATTCTATCAAGCACCAGAATCTGAATGTACATTTCAGTTCATTCTGGCACTGAGGCATGGAGATGATCATTGGCAATAGAAAAGCATAATCAGAAACAATAATGTATCAGATAATTACAAGATCAAGGAAGGCACAACAAAGATACAAAGAGGCTCCTCATGCTCACTAGTCCCTTCCTATATAACAACCATATCAGGATAAAAGGCTCAAACAGAAAGAAGGCATGGGTATTTAATATCTATAACAAAGTAGGTATACACAGTCATCATGGATTACTCCTATCAAAAGAAAAAAAAAAAAATCATCATGGATTACCCACTAACAGTTCAGACAATAGTAAACTTGGATTGGGTGCCAACACCACTCAATTTATTGGAAAATGCTTAAAATTGAGGAAAAGGGCATCTGGATGTCAACCACTCAAGAATTATGTTGTCAAACAAAACCCTACTTGTCAATCTAGTTGGTTGAGTTGAACTCCTTTGGGAGAAGGAAATTCCATTCTAGCTGAGCTCTTCTCACTCCTCTAAGGCTGAGATTACTTCTTCCCAAGCGACTCTAATGTAGAAATGTAAGGAGAGTCATAAGTGGTAACTGGATGGATGTGAAATGAGAAGGCCAGTGGATGCACCGGCATTGATTCATTGCGTTGGTCTTCGTTCAGCTCGAAATCAGCTAAGGAGATAGCGGACTCTCTGGCAAGAAGTGGAGCTAATAGTGATTTATTGCATTGGAGTATTGCCCATCCGGCATAGGCGGTTGTAAGTTTAAGGCTGGACTAATTCAAGGGACTTGGTAGCTGACTCCAATGGGAATGTACCTTAAATTGTAATCTAAGTTTTGATAACTAACAAAATCCTCATCTGTTCGTTAGCAAACCAAAAAACATGAGAGTAGCACACAACACGATGAGATTGAGTTGTCCGATAATCAATGCAATCACAATTCCCCACAACAATAAACAAAAACAGAATGCACTTTTCAGGATTAGTTTCGGAGAAAAAGAAAGGGAAGAACATGAAAAAAAAAAAGAGAGATGAAAGACCTGTAAACGAATGACGAATTCTTCCTCTTTGTCGACGTAGAAATCGTTGATCTTTTCCAACTCTTCATCGAGAATCCTGACGAACCATTCTTCTAGACCAATCCAGGGTTTGTTTCTCTCAGTGTCATCAGTGGAGACATCGCCATCAGTAGGAGCACCGTCGATGATCTGGCGATGATGGCGAAGAAGATCGTCGAGGACCAGTGAATCAGGGGAGCTAGGGAAGTGCTTGAGAAGTTTCTTTAAGGGTTTGTAACACAAGAATTTGTCCCTCCACTCTGGAATGGTTTCTTCTAAGTGGGTTCGAAATTCCTTACCGAATTTCATGTATGTAACGTACCCCTTTTCTGCGTATATAGAGAGGAGATGGGAGGGAACAAGACGATGGGGTAAACTTCGGGAGAGGAATTATTTTGTGAATTAAAACAGTGGAGAGGAGGGCGATGTACTATGTGCAAGGGAATCTATTATTTTTTATTTTTTAATATTTTTTTTATGAAAAGCATGGATGTGCTAGATAGAGAAGCCGGAGGCAGCACGTCCCCGCTAAGTCGGACTGGGATATGCTCCTCACACAGAACGGCTCACTCCGACATGAACATCTCACTATGCATTGTAACATTTCCGGTGAATAATAATTTATAAGTATAAGAGATGTTTTCAATGTATGGTAGGATGTGTTGTGTTCATTCCTATGGATAGAAACTAAACTCACAAGGAAGGTTATAGAAATTAAGATGAAAAGACCTAGAGCATATGAGCCTTCTTAACAATCCAATCCACCACTTGATTTGCCTTCCTATTGACATGCTTGTAGTTGATGTCACTTTCAAGATGATCCTTGAGTCTTAAAGCATTGGGAAATTCCATATTAGTATCTTGTACTTTGGGTCTAGTGCCACATTAGTCCCCAAATTTTAAAATGCGATAATTTAGTACTCGAACTTTCAAAACATGTCAATCTAATATCTGCCATTAACTAGTTCGTTAACCAGTTGTTAAGTTCCATTTGAAAAGACATAAATACCCTTCAAGTGTCATCTAATTCTCCTTATCAACCATCCAAACATTGACAAAAAATTAGCAGTCTCAAATCCTTGTCTCTTCTATTCAAGAAAATTGGGGTCAGCAGAATGCTCACTGAGACGTAACCCCAACTTTTTTGCATAGAAGGGGCAAGGATTTGAGACTATTCATTTTCATCAACATGTGGATGGTTGATAAAGAAAATTAAATGACACTCAAAAGGGCATTTGTGTATGTTCAAATGTCACTTAATGGCTAGTTAACGGATTGGTTAGCGATAGGTACTAGATTGACACATTTTGAAAGTTCGGGTATTGAATTGTCACATTTTAAAATTCGGAGACCAAAGTGGCACTAGACCCAAAGTATAGGGTACTAATCACGAATTTTCCCTAAAACATTCCTGGATGATGGTCTTGAGGTTCCAAGGAGGGGAAGCAATTCCCTTTAGACATGAAATAACCAGCTTGGAGTCCCCGTCAATGATCAGCTTTGAATTCTTGAAATTGGCAGCAAGGTTATGTGCCTCCCACATCGCCCATGCCTCAGCAACATTTATGGATGAGTATTCCATCAAGTAACCCTTGAAGTCCACAATCTTATCGAGAGGATCTTGAGCCACAGCAGCAACCGCACACATTCCATTTAGAAGTCTAGATGCATCAAAATTAATTTTTATTCTTCCATCCTTAGGGGGTCCAAACTATGTTCTTCCACTTTTTGATCTCAAATTGTTGTTTAGTTTTTTCAAAAAGGTCATAGTATTCCACAAATTCTTTTGTCGCTCTCTCAATAATAGTAATTGGGGATTCTGGTTTATCTGAAAAAATTTTGGAATTCCTGTTCTTCCATACTTGCCATAATATAACACATCTTTCCTTCATCTTACAGTTAAGTTTGACATCAGCCTCGTGCACTCTATACCACCACTCACTCAAACTATCAGTTTCAAGGGGAGTTTCTAAACCATTGTTTACTGTCTTCAAAACTTGTTTAACCATATTGCACTTTTTAAAAATGTGGTCAATGTCCTCTTACTCCCCACAAAAATAGCATTCTCCATCAATGTTCATCCCTCTTTTCTTTAAGGTTATGTTTGGTTTGAAGGAAATGGTAGGAAAAGGAAGGGAAACATAAGGAAGCCTATACAAGATTTGTAAAGGTTTCCCTACTTTTTCTTTCAAATCGAACACAACATAAAGAAATTTTGGAGGGAAGTTTATTATTAAGTAAAAGATAGAGGAAAAATCTTAATTTTGGTTGGCATTTAACCTTCCAAACCAAATTGATCCAATTAAACTCACAATCTCTATTAGAGATTGAGTTACATTTAATTCCGTAGGCTGATTTGACTAAAAAAACACCATATGGGTTCAATCTCCAGACAAACATATCTTCTTTATCCTCAGTAGGAATAAATATAGATCTAATCTTATCCCAAGAACTTTGAGAGGCCACCGAACGGATCTTGTTTTCATTCCACATCTTCTTCTCATGGTCAATAAAGTCCCCAACCTTTAGGTTTTCCATCTTATATGGTACAAGATCAGGGCCTTCAACCAAAACCTCATTACCAATCCAATTATCTTTCCAGAAATTAACAGAGTTTCCATTTCCAGTAACCCAACCCATACCCTTCCCTCAAAAGGTCTTTTGACTCAACAATTCCCCTACAGGCCCAAGAAATATTCTTCTTAATTTTAACATTTAAAAATTCTTCTCCTTTTAAATACTTTCCTTTTACAACCTTAGCCCATAAATTATCTTCATCTCTAAGAATCTTCCATCCCAGTTTAGCTAAATTAGCTTCATTAGCCCATTTTAAATTAATTAGGTCGAGGCCACCCAAAATCTTAGGGTAACAGACCTTGCTCCATCTTAAAAGATGCAAAGGTTTCCTATCATCGACTTTAGACCAAAGAATTCTTTTTCTGAGCCTTATTTATATCCTTAATTATTCCACTAGGCAACCTGAATGATCTCATGATAAATTGAGGTACCATATTAGCAGAAGCTTTTATTAGAGTTATTCTGCTTGCCAGAGAAAGAGAATTTCTCTTCCAAATGGCGAGTTTTTTTGGTAACTCTATCCTTGACAAATTGGAATGAATCTTTGGTAACTCTAGAAGTAATTTGGGAGGGGAGNGGGGGGGACGTAGAAACATTTATTTGATTGGATAGGAATCTTCAAAATATTGGCAAGGATTTTCTACAATTTATTTGGGGTATTTCTAGAAAAAATAATAGAAGACTTATTGAAATTTGGGTTTTGGCCCATTGCAAATTTTTCCAAATTATCTTTGATTCTGAGACAAGCATTAATGGTAGGTTTTGCAAAAATCAAACAATCATCTGTAAATCGAAGAATAGGGATTTGGGGGAATCTTTTGCCGCTTTACATCCTATACCATTTTCCAATATTAAGAGAATCCTTCTCAAGCTTCCTAGATAAAGCTTCCGCACATAGGACAAATATGTAAGGGGAGAGAGGGTCTTCTTGTCTAATACCTCTAGAAGTTGCCCATCTATTCTCTCCTTGGGGGAATCTATTAATATGTTATGCAGTTGCCATCTATTCTCTCCTACATCCGTATTTTATTTAAAAATAATAGGCTTAACTACTTAACATTTGAGAAATTCCTTATATATTAGTTGGAACCCGATGCACTGGTTTTATTAAGAAAATTGAGGAAGGAGCTTGATGACATTTTCAATTAAGGATGGTTATTTAAGTCCAATTCAGTGACATTTTCAATTAAGGATGGCCATTTAAGTCCAATTCAAGTATTATTTTTTGGGTTCTGTCTATTTTATCCAATCATTAATTCAAGTTGCATTATAGTGGGAGCGGTCAATTTCATATATAGATAAATTTATATTACTTTTTGTATCTTAATGTTATTTTTTATTAATTTTTAAATTTTATTGATTTGTTATTATTTTCATATTATTTTTAGGTAAAATTATAGAAAAAACTCCTATTTTAAAAATTCTATAAACCACCCTTGTGCTTTAAATCTAACAAAAACCTCACCTATAGTTTTGCAAAAAAGTGTAAATACCACTTTTTTGTTAGCTTTTAAATAACAAAGATGAACAAAGTTACCAAAATACCCTTATCATTGTTAAGGCATCATACACAATTTAAAGTTTCCACTTCACCACCCACTATGTATTTTAGGTGGCAACTTTCAAAGAGTAATTCTCTCTACTCTTCTTGGATTAAGTAAGGTTAAAAGGTTGAGGTAAAAGAAAGCAACATTTTTTTAAGGTATTTTAGTAAATTTACATCTACATGAAGTTGGATAAGAGTAAATTTTATATTTTTAAAAATAAAAAGTTAATGCATTACATTAGAATTTTCCATTTGGAGCGCTGACAAAAGAAAGGTATTTGTGCATTTTTTTTTTCAAAACAATAAGGGAGGTTTCTGTTAAGGTCAAAACATAGGGGAGGTTCATAAGATTGTTATTAGAAAATCCAAGGAGGTTTTTATATCTTTTCCTACTTTTAAATGGAATTTAAATTGATTTTAGATCAATTAAACTATAAACTTAAAGTTAATAAATTTTATTAATCCTTGCTAATGTTAATTAATTATATTAATCTTTTCTTTTTTTAGTGAAATTTCAGTTGGTTTTAAATTAGTAGAAATTAGTTATAAACTTATAATTGTTAAATAATTTTGTCTTAGTTTTATATTAACTTTAAAAGAATTTTAAATGGATATTAATTTTTATTAATATATTTATTTTTATTATATTATAAAAATATGTTTATTAATAATAACAATTAATTCTTATTTTATTTTATTTAGGTCATTTACTAAATTTGTTTTACTATGCTTAATTAACTATTATAATTTTCATATGAAATATAAATTGACCATAATTTTTATGATATTTTATTTAATGTTTTCAACTCGACATTAACTTTGAAGATTGAACTGTTCAAATCATGACTCGACCCTAATTATAATTCCAAGTTTCCTAAAACCCACTATTTTGTCAAAAACCATTAATTTGGTCAAAACCTATTCAACTTGGACAGTTGAACCATTGACCCTTTTGACCCAATCATTGGGTCACGAGTTTCAATATACAATGTATTGAAAACTTATGGAGGACTTAACTATTGTGTTCTAGGGGGTGATCTTTTTTTTTTTTTTTTGGGTAACTTTTCACAATCTTTAAAATCCCAGTATACAAAAAAAAAACTCAGGTTTTGACCTCAAACTTCATTTTTTTTGGTCTTTTATTTATAAAAAATTAAGAACTAAAATAAAAAGTATAGATTTGAAATGTTATACACACACAAATAAAAGAGTTATTGAAGGAGAGAGTTAATGGCATGATTATGAGAGATGATTAAATGAGTTAATGGGGGGAGAGAGAGAGAGAGAGAGAGTTAATGATGAAAGATAAAAGTCTTAATGGTGATTGACCACTTGAATTATTTTGTTCAGTTGCAAAATTAGAAAAATTAAAAAAAAACAAAAAAAAATATAAATACTCCGAACTTTAAAAAACAACTTAAACATTAACTCAAATTGATAAAACTTAAAAGACCACATTGTCCTTAACTGTTGATTAAATTTTCAAAACATGTC